AGAGTAGCTCACTCCAAGTCATCTCCTACTCTCCTTTTATCTCCCTTCAACTCCACCCTTTCCAAAAGAGCCATTAAAATACCCACAAACCCCACAGCTCCAGCCCCCAAAACAGTCGGAAGAACGTTCCAGAACTCAGGGTCATTATCGTCATTTCGCAACCACACTCCTCCGCCCTCCGCCACTCGGTTTGGACGGTCCGAGAGTCCGACAGACCCGACCCGAAATGGAGAGGAGCACGCCGGTGAGGAAGCCCCACACGTCCACCGCGGATCTGCTCACCTGGTCCGAGACTCCTCCTACTGACTCTCCTCTTCCCTCCTCCGCCTCTCGCTCTGCTACTCGCTCTCACCAGGTACAATTAAAAAATTCAATCTTTTTTCTATTTTGTTTGTTTTGATTGGTTTGGTGATTATGGGGTTGTTTGATTTGTTGTTGTTGTTTTGGGGTTTGATCGTAGCCGTCGGATGGGATCAGAAAGGTGGTGTTTGGAGGTCAGGTGACGGACGAGGAGGTCGAGAGCTTGAACAAACGGTCAGATCTGCTTCTTCCTGCTTCTGCTTTATGCTTCTTCTTCACATTTTCTTTTCTGGCTGTTTATTTTTCGAAATTTGGTTCTTTGATTTCGTTTTTGTGGTCATTATAAGTGGACTCATTTGTGGACCTGCAACGGATTTTTCTTCTCAAATTCTTATGATTTTGGAAAACAAAAATGAGGTTGCTTTTTTTGTTTTTGTTGGTCCCAAGTTGGTTCTAGAACCCTCTTGGTCTTAAAATATATTGCTTTTATTTATTTCTTATATTTGGATATTCCATTGGAATTTTATTTCCAGTAAATTCTCCATTTGTTTTATAAAGGAAATGGATTGTTGAATTGAAGATTGATTAAGTCAATGATCTCTGATCGATCTACCTTTATTTGGCCTATGAATCCTCATAAATAATTCGGTCCAGAAAAAAAGTCCTCTTCAGAAATAATTCAAATTTTTTTTTTTTTTTGTATTTAATAAATGAGTTAAAATTTTGAGTTATGTATTTATAAATTGAAGAGTTGGGTATTTGTTAGTTGACAGGTTTTGTTATTTAGGTAAAACGTTACAGTTGTTTTTCTTTTGTGTGTGTGTGTGTGTGTGTGTGAAATTAGTCATGTGGACAAGTTTAATTTGTTGTGGTAAAAGCTTGGATATTTGTAGTGAAAATAAACATGATGTGGTCATATGTAATGGGCTGTAGTTGTATTAATTGTGCCGTTTGTCTAAGACCTCTAACATTGTTCACTTTCAAAATTTCCAGCAAACCTTGTTCAGGGTATAAGATGAAGGAGATGACTGGGAGTGGCATTTTTGCACCGAAGGCAGAAAATGATGCCTCAGAATCTGATGGTGCCAACCTTACCCCAAAACCCGCAATTCGTATGTACCAGGTACCAATCAATATGTGGTTAATTTTTAGATTGATTACTTAAACACATATCATAGTGTGGTATGTAAGTTTGGTGCAAAACCCATTTCCTGAATTAGTCTTCTGTTGGTATGAAATGGCAGCAAGCGGTTGCTGGAATCAGTCATATCTCATTTGGTGATGAAGAGGGTGTTTCTCCCAAAAAGCCTACAACTATTCCTGAAGTTGCAAAGCAGCGTGAGCTAAGTGGGACCTTGGAAAGTGAAGCAGAGAAAGAGGCAAGGCTGAAGAAGCAGCTTTCTGACTCTAAATTCAAGGAGCTTAGTGGGCATGACATATTTGCACCGCCTCCTGAAATTTTGCCCAGGACGACTACTGCTCCACGTGCACTGGCCTTGAAAGGAAGCATAGAGATAGGAGAACCTGCTTCCCCCAATGGTCACACATCTGTTAAGGTTTCTAATGTGAGTGAACTGTGTGGTTACTTGCGCATAATACATATAATTATCTGTTCTCATTATGGAAGTGAAGTATCTAACTGTTGTGAATTGGTTTTTATGTAATAGCCTGGTGGGGGTCAGAGCAATATAGCATCCAGTGAGGAACCTGCGTCCAAGACGGCTAAGAAGATTTATGAGAAGAAATTTTCTGAGCTCTCAGGAAATGATATATTCAAGGGTGATGTTCCTCCGTCATCAGCTGAAAAACCACTGAGTAATGCAAAACTACGAGAGATGAGTGGCAGCAACATCTTTGCTGATGGGAAGGCAGAGGCTCGAGACTACTTAGGCGGTGTACGCAAACCCCCAGGTGGAGAGAGTAGCATTGCCTTGGTTTAACATGTTAGGTCTAACTGGGTTATTTTATTTCATCACATGGTGTCTGGTTTTGTTCGTTGTTCTCCTAGTGCTGGAGGATGTGCTATTATATTATTTGACCTTTTTATTGTGGGTTTTGGGAATTATGTTTTAGGTTATAACGGGATCGGCCAGAGCTGTGGACTATCTGCTAATTGGGTTGTGTATGTCCATATTTTTGTGTTCTTTCAGTGTTTGTCTTAATGAAGTGCATGGCTGTTTCAATGGGTTTAATTTATGAATTAGCTTTACATTGATTATGTTTTCTTTGGTGACACCAAAGGCACCTTTGTTGAGCTCTTGATCATGAAGTTTTAGCTATTTTGTATTGTTTGTGTTCCAACTTCCATTTGCTTTCAGATGCTGGTGCAAAGGGAAATTGAGAAGCAAAAAAGTTTTTGATTGAAACTTGGTTTCTTAAAACTTAGCTCTGCAGGCTTGGAAATTCCTTTACTCAAAGTTAGGTGAGCTCTGAGCTATTCATGGGCTTAAAACCAGCTTGGAGCCTCGAAAGAAAGGCATTTTGGCTGCGGTTGTTGAAAATGACTTTGCAGCTGTAATGGCAGTAATTCGGCGGCAAGAAGAATATCATCCTCTTCCCAACATAATGGCCTGGTAGAAGGTTTCATTAAATGGACCCGGACTGCCGGATTGGGCACATAATATTCATAGAAAAAGAAACAACGTAGCAGAGAATAAGTTCTTGGGGTTAGCAAATGTAATGAACCATGATTAGGAAAGTCAGTAAGAAACGTTAAGAGTTTGATCCCTTTCAATTATTCCGAAAGAACTATGGCCGATTCGTTGGCCGATCTCCGATAATAATACCCTAAGCACGGTTATTTTACCAATTCAATGATGTTAGCATGTACATTAAATTTTACATCTCTTTGTTTATTGCTAATTGATTTTGGATCAAATATCGTAACTTTAACATGATATTAAAACATATTGGTAAACCGTGAAAATACAATACATACATAATGACAAATCACACCAATAACACAATCAAATTATATTAAAATAGGAAATTCGAATTTGGAGGTGCCGTGGTGCCGAAGTCTCACCAGTCGAAGCTTTATGCTCCGCTACGCTTCTAGCCCTCTAGCTTTTGACTTGAGTTGAGACAGCCTTCTTCCCCATTAATTTTATTTCCATTAAAGCTCTGCTCTGTTCGTACCCTATGGCAAAGCTAGCCTCGCACAGAGGAAGGAAATCAATTTGTTGGGCTGCAGCAACAAATTTTTGGCCCAATCACCTGCTATCTGATTCTTACTTTATTTTAAAAATGTGGGCCCCACTTACATGTGGCTCTTTAATAATAATAATTGAATATTTTTTCTGAATAATATATATATATATTTTTTGCAGCAGCCAATAAGAAGAGGCTATGACTTGCTTATATTAAGCTACAATCCAATTGGCAACATTGGCCTGAGCTGAAAGTTACTTTTATCTAATTTTGGTAAAAGACTTAACCAGAACGGAAGCACAGTAGGAAACAACTGTAAAAAGAATATGATGATTACTGTAATAAAAGTAAAAATTAATTTAAATTTGGGAAACAAAATCAAATTAGATTAAGAAGATAAGCACATTAAGAAACATTAACGAACCGAACTTGAAGGCGAGAAAATCAAGCTGAGTTTGTTATGTAGGTTAGGATACCATGAGTTTCAAATATAACATGAAGGACTATAGGACTCATGACCACATAAAATCTGCGAATAATTCTATATATAGCCTCCAACAAGACCATCACAAACCCTATCGAATATATCACGAATAATTCTATATTTTATTTTTGCAAATAGGTTGTTTTTCATAATTTGGTGAAGCCAAAAAATGTCGTGGGATTTCACGATATTAATGACGATTCTTGGGATCACTATTTTGGAGTACAATTTTCGTATGGGGGAATTACTGAGAAGAAGACAGCATAATGAATATCTGCAAGAATCAAAGAAGTGCAGGTAACTAGTTTGAACTTTGATCTTATTCATATCCTTGGCAATTGTGTTCTTATGTGCATGCAATAGTTTCAATATAAAACTAATAGAGTTTTACTTAAGCTCATGTCGTTAGAAGTAGTTGTCTATGCATCTAAGATTACGCATTCAAATCCCTCTTCACTGTCGGTTGTATAAAAGAAAAATTAATCTAATTACTGGAATTTTAAATCACTACATTTTTATAAGGGTTTTATGTGCTCAATTATGATAATTTTTTTGGCTATATAAGTTTCAATTGAAAGTTAACTTGAACCTTTTATTTATATTTTGATTTGATTTCTATGGAAATAGGGAGACCATGCGGAAGAATAAGGAAGAGAAGTCTGATACTTTAATGTTGAAAAAGAATCAAATTTTAATTTATAGATGTTTCTTGCCAACTAATGAATTATACGTTTGGAGGGGTTGCCATAAAGAACCTAAAAAGAGAAAAACTAGACTTGGACTTTAGAGTATAATGATTGTCTTTCGGTAAATAGTAATTGTATATATTTATTTTTCAAAAACAAATGTTCAAGTTCAACCAAATGGGGAACGACAGTGCTGCTCTTCCTCTGGGCTTTGGCTGCGCACAGCTGACCCCCTTGCTCCCTACCTCTCTACTATAGAGACTCTAGAGGTTTGCTTGAAATTTAATACACCAACAACAAGCATAAAACATGACCGGAAAGAAGAGAAATAGGAGAGAAAGGAGAGAAAGGAGAGAGCGAGAGAGAGAGAGAGAAGAAAAATGAATCCGGTGAAACAACTTTGGAAAAAAGTGAGCAGTGACTTTGGAAAAATCCATGGAATCGTCCAATTTGCGCATGATTGGAAGGTAGGGGCATTTTGCACTGTTGGAGTTAGCGTGCTCTCTTGGGTTGCGACGGCCGCCTCTTGTGCTTTTATTGCCAAAGCACAACGGCAAAGGGTGGCGGCGGCAGCTGCAGTTCAAGCGGCGGCGGTGGCAGCTGCAGTTCAAGCTAAGGAGGCGGCGGCAGCTGCAGTTCAAGCGGCGGCGGCAGCTGCAGTTCAAGCTGAGGAGGCGGCGGCAGCTGCAGTGGCAGCTGCAGTTCAAGCGGAGGAGGCGGCAGCAGTGGCGGTGGCAGCACAAGTGGCGGAAGAGTAAGCGGCAGCGGCGGCGGAGGCGGCAGGCCAAGCACCCCCTTCTCCTCTTCCAGTGGTGGTTGTGGTGGTTCTCCTCTCCAATTACTGTAATAAAAGTAAAAATTAATTTAAATTTGGGAAACAAAATCAAATTAGATTAAGAAGATAAGCACATTAAGAAACATAACAAACCGAACTTGAAGGCGAGAAAATCAAGCTGAGTTTGTTATGTAGGTTAGAACCTGTTTACGAAGTAGATACGGTTAACTAAAACAGATCAGAAGATTAAAAACAAAGATTAATTAAGAAATAGAGATTAATTATTGATTTAAAAATGCAAAAAGAGTTAAGAAATGAATATTCTTTTGGCCTGAAAATAAAAAAATGATTGAAAATAGCCTTTCCTAGTTCCTAGTCAGCCTCAGAGCCCTCTCTCTCTCTCTCTCTCTGCTTTTTGCTGTGCTGTTGGGTAGTGCTGTAGTGCGACTCTTCATTTTAATGGCGTGAGTGTGAGCGGTGGCAGAGCGTACTATCAAATACTGAGAGAAAAACAAGAAGAAGAAGAGAGGATCAAAACCCTCTCTCTCCCTCTGTTCATTATCTTCCTCTCTCCCTCTCTCGCAAATCCCATTGCCGAATCCACAATCCCAAAATGACATTGACATTTGCATCACTGCTTGAACAAACACTATCACTGCTTGTTTTCTGTGCTTGATGGAACGATACCCTTCTTTTATTCTTCTCTGAATCGTTTTCTCACGTGGGTTTTGGGATTCTGAATCTGGGTTCTCTCTGTTTTTCTCTGAAAAAAGTATTTTTCCTTTCTGTGCGTGTGTGCTTTTACGTGTATTGTATATTAGACATATATATTGTGTGTTGTATGTTGTATAATGTTTAAAATAGCTGAGGAAGACGAGAGGGTT